AAATCTTCGTACTATCGTTGAAGCAAATTACTTTACTTACTTAAATGGATGAAGGCTATAACTAAAATTTGTGTTTGCGAGATCGTTGATCGTTTGACTTTTTATTTGTTATTAAAGCGTTATTGGGGGGAAGCCATGACGCGTCAAGTAATGGTGACTACTAAACCATTTAATGGTAAGGTTCATTTTGGCGTTTTAATTTGAATTTGTTATAAAAATAAGTGGTTTGTTGATAATCGATATCACAACTCGCACGCCTCTTCGTTTGCAAAGAAGTCTAGTCCTCAGCAAAAACCGAAAACTTTCAAAATGTTCAAGCTGGTAAGTTCAAAAAAAGTTTAATTTTTAGAAAATTATTTACTAATATAATATTTCATCATTTACTACAGTTCGCCGTGTGCTTTTTGGCTCTCTTCGCTGTTGTCTTCGGTGCTGCCAAGCCCGGTCTATTGGCTGCCCCAGCTACTTTTGCTGCCGCCTCTGCTGCACCAGTAGTCGCTCCATTTGCCGCTGCTCCAGTCGCCTACACCGCCGGTTATGCACCCTATATTGCTCCCTATGCCAGCAGCTACTCCGCTCCCTCAATCGCACACTCTGCCGCTTTCCCAGCTGCTTATGCCGCCGCACCAGTTGTTGCCGCACCCGCGCCAGCTGTTGCTTTGCTTCGCAAATAGTTCGATACTGTGACGCGGAAGCTTTGCTCTTGAAACTATGTTAAATACTACTAGGTTGTGAACTGAAATAAAATTAGTCTGAATATCTATTCGAAAAATTTTTGTCATTATTTAAGGATAGTTGTTTTGCGGATAGAGCTACCTAGAAATCTTGATGTCATTGGATCGGCGACTGACTGATCAGAGTACAATAGTGAAGACTCATTATCATTTTAGGCAGCCAAAGTGCGGGACGCGTCTATTATTCTGCCCAATAAAAGCACACCTAATCCCCTATTTAATCAACGATCCGAGAATCTGATACTGTTTTTTTTATTCGTAAATATTATACCTATATTTGCTAAGATTTCTTTACACCAAGGTGCTGAAAATAATACTAGTATCAGTTTCATGGTATGACAATGTGAATTTATGCAACCCAAAATTTGTTTACAGATTGTTGAAATTTCCTCTTTTTGGTGAAAAATTCTATAATTTTTTATGAAGCATTATGTTTCCAGTTTTTTGGTGACCCGTACTAAAATATATTTTTTAACATTTTTGTTGAAGATTTCAATCTCTAACGGCCATTTTTTTACACCTGGATAAAAACATTCCTTTCTGGCAAGGGTTAATGCCTTTCATTGCTAAATTCTTCTAAATGCACTCCAAGACGTGAGTTATCACACACATTCACATGTTCAATCTTAAACAACAGCACTTTTGAGCAATTCAATTATTTTTTTTTTTTTAGTTTGATATGATTTTAAATTGCTGTCAAACTTAAAAAAAAAAAAATCATGGCCGACGAATTGAGAGAACGGTTCTACCTTCCTATGTTTTTATCATGGTTAGGATGAGGTGCAGCAAAGTACTTGGCGGGCTTAACCACCTCTTACAAAACGTCTGAAATTTATAGATCAACAGTTTTTAGTAATTTCACTGTACTTTTGTACTTGGAAATTTCAAAAAAAAAAACTAAAATGTATACATCACCAACGTGGCTCAAAAAAGCCCATTTTAGGTTCACTATTCCTACTACTACTTTCCAAAATAAGTAATCACATTTCATACAAACTGAGTTATGAATGGGGTGATTGACTCGGATTTTCCAAACCGGTTTTTACCTTTTTTTTTTTTGATAACTATAGACCGTATTTTTGAAATCTTGACTTTTCAAATATCGTATAAGCCGGATTTTTTTATCGAATAACCTTGTTTCTTTCATTTCATACAAATCTTGACTTCTCACTAAAGTATTGACTTCTTAATAAAGTGAAATGAAGCTCTTGTTTTCTGGTGGGTTCTTCGATAGAATCCCATCTGAATATCGGTAAAGAAAATCGATATTATCTACTTTTGTTGATGCATAAGCGTGTGCTCTTTTTTCCTCAACTTCTGTGTGATAGTCTATTTCTTGAGCGGGCCATTTGGAGTTGTCTTCTTGCAACCAAGAAGGTCCCTGCCACCACAAAAAATTATTGATCAACTCCAACGCAGGCAATCCTCGGCTAGCCAAATCGGCTGGATTCTAAGCCGAGTCTACACGTAACCAGACCTTGTTCCCAACTTTTTCTACGATTTTCGTAAATCGGGGTGCGACGATGGTTGACCAAGTACAAGGAGGATTTAGTATCGAGTACGACGGTCAAGTCTGTCCAAAGATATGTTTTCACTTGCCCTAGGTTGAAGTTGTTGATTACGGATTCTATGATTTCTGCAAGCAGCACGGCTCCGCAGAGTACCAGTCGAGGCAGCGATATATACTTGACAGGAGCTACTTTAGTTTTTGCCTAAAGAAGTAGAAGACACAGTCGCATCCCAGTCTGTGCCCTCTAGCTAAATACTTTGCATGCGCATTTTGGCCACGATGACTTTTATGGCAAACCATACTAGCGGATCAAATAGGATAGCTGATAATATTGCCCCCTTTTTGTGAGTATATCGCGGTCCTCCAATGGTCTTGCCATGAAATAGAATAGACCAGTATGAGCATTCCATCTTATGCCAAGAGCCTTAACCGTTCTGGTATCTTCGAATGCCAAGAAGTCTTCACTGAGTAGGTCCGTTTTTGGGATGTACTTTAGAATTTCCGCATCGTTTGAGGTCCATTTCCTTAGCGGAAAACCGGCTGACAGTAGCACTTCAGAGATTTCATATCTTGTTTTTATGGTAGAGTCGATGTTATGTCCTCCAGTTATCGACCTTTTTCCTGTTCTACCCAGTACCAGGTAGTTGCATCCAGTTCTAGTCTTGCAGCACGAGAGCCCAAGAAATCGGCAGTCAGTCGATACAATTTGCCGAAAACTGAAGTCAGTTTTGCGTAGTAGGTCAGCCACAAGCTTCTACAGGCGCTGCAGTATGGTTGATTAGTCCACCTAGACAGATTCAGACCTTGATATAGCTTATAGATACAAAAACTTCTTCTACCACTGATATAACCAGACCCGTTTCGATAAAGCACGTCGCCTCGTTTCGTTTACATGGCCACTCTTGTGCTTCTGCATCCAAGTAACTACCACGTAAAGCCGAAAATTACATATCTACTTTCAATACTATTTCAATAAGCAAGAGATGATTTTTTTCCCAACAAAACTGCCAAAATTGTCGCCTAGCTACGCGAGAATATAGCAATTCTTGTCTTGGTTCGTTCTGCGTCTAAAACTCCCCATTGATAGCAGAGATTTCAGCCTGATAAGGACTTGTTCAATTTATATTTGTATTCATGAATACCAACTTCCCAGGGAAAAGCAAAGAATAAATAAGGACTACATAAAATTTTCGTATCCTTGTAAAATCTTGTTTTATTTTATTTCCATTTGGTTCATCAACGTAAACAAGTATTGTCTATTTCTTTAAAACAGCAAAACCGGGTGCAGGAGCGGCAACAACTGGAGCAGCAGCATAGGCAGCATAAGCAGCTGGGTAGGCGGCAGAGTGGGCAATCGAATGAGCCGAATAGCTGCTGGCATAGGGAGCAATGTAGGGCGCATAACCGGCGGTGTAGGCCACTGGCGCAGCATAGGCGGCGGCAGCAACTGGAGCGGTGTACGCAAGAGCAGCTGGGGCAGCTAATAGACTGGGCTTAGCAGCACCGAAGGCAACAGCGAAGATAGCCAAGAAGCAGACAGCAAACTATATAAAAAGAGAGAAAAAATAATTTCGTCAAAATAGTGTTTCGTAGCAAATAAAGGTTACTTACTGCTGAACTCACCAGTTTGAACATTTTGAGAGTTTTGGTTTTTTGTTCCGAAGAATATACTTCTTTGCGAATGAAGAGGTTTAGGAGTTGTGATTTCAATTGTAAACAAACCACTTGCATTTATACCCAGCTCATTTTTTAAACACTATACTATATGAGCCCTAAAGGACCTTGAAGAAGTTACAGTTATGTAGCACACATATTAAATAGCCCAATAACTGCGCCTGCTTTGTAAGTGCGTTTGGTTTAAAATAAGCGTGACGCTTTAAAGTCATATAGCCAATAACGGTGCGTTGTTAATCTTTTCGTTTGCTTAGTTTTCTTGACACGAACTTGCATAAAGTTAAGACAATCGCACAATGGAGAAGTTGTCACAGTTTCTATAAGTTTTGCATTTCTTAGCTTAGTTTACAATGGAGTAAAAAAGCTGATGAAATTGAAACGCTGCTACGATGTAATATAAAAACGAGAATAGGAGCAGATTTTTTAGTTTGAAGAAAATATTTTCCACGGCCTTTTTCGGCAAAACTTCGAATGGGTTTCTGTTATGTAACTAAATGCAGCACAACAGTTCAGGAAATACGAACATTCATTTAATTTGAAATTTTTTGTTGCTTTGACACGTGCACATACATATGTACATACGTTTAACAAGTTAGTATTAGCACTGACTTAACAAGAAATAAGGCATTAACTCCTATGCTCCTTTCCTTAATACTAAGTATTAGCCTACATTGGAACTTCCTCTTCTCAAAAATGTTCAATATGTAGCTCATGTCAATATCTGTCAACAGGAGAAATTGGTTCCTTGTATTCCAGGAATCTCATGCCCCTTACTGTGTGTTAGCAATCACACATTACTTGGAATTAAGTAGAGGAGTTCAGCATTCATTGTCGAGTGTGAGTGGCTTTTCTTAGTATGCATTGATGAAGCAAAATAATACTTTCTGGGATCAATATTACAGTTTGTTTGATAGGAAATAACAGGTGTGTGGTGACCAATACAAATGGACTCTATCGGAAGCATGCAGCTGGATATGTATGTATACTTTTCTTCAAGGAAAACTCTCCCTTACAATCACTACTATGCTCGATGCGAAAAAAAGGGCCGAAATAGCCGGTTAAGCTCTAGACTTGTATTTTTAAACCATTGCAAAATTTTAATTTTTTTATTTTTATTTTTTTTCGATCAAGAATAGTTATTCGATTATAATCGATAACAATCTTCACCATTATTTTACATAAAAAAATTTTAAGCTAAAGCTTTTACCACGGTTAATACGTCTTGTGAATCCCCTATATCTATATGCATGTAGTTCTTCACTATAAAACTGGAAATAAAAACTTTAGCCAACATTTTTATTTCAAAGGATATATTTTTGATATTTGTTTCCGTGAATTTAATGGCTTCCTGGCGGCATAAAATGTACTTTATAGAGAAATCTTGTTTCAATTCTTTTTGATGGATAAATTACGTTTACAAAAAATATCAAACACATTCACTTGCAGACAAGGAATTTTTCAGTTTTTGCCCACTTATGCGGCACTGTGTGTCGTGACGGCTACCCCTTTCATCGAGGGACGTGACGGCCAGGCATATAACATTCAAAACTGCTGCTAAACTCAACTCCTTCTGGACGAATTGACTATTTACTCGGATCTGTACTTAGAGACGAATTTCGAAGCCATTATAAAAGTCGATTAATAGCGGGAGCGCAAAGGATGGCTGACTTGGTGTATGTGTATTAGGGTGGCCCAAAATGAGTAAAGTCGGCATTTTAATGTTCTCACCCCCTAGGACTGTTCTATATCGAACAAATATACCACTTTTTTATTTTTTTTATTATTTATTTAGAGGTCGCTCAAAGCGCTCAAAGTTTTCCATGTATTTTATATGGAGAAGAAACAACTTTTCGTACAAATGGTATAGAATACCCGAAAATCTATAATTTTCGATCGCAAAACTCTGATTTTCTTCAGAAGACTACCAATTACAATGCCCGATTGTTTATTTAATAATTTTTTAATACTAAAGATTTTTTATTTATCCCCATTGCGTGATCAGTTACTATGAAAAACTGGTTAAATAAATAATTGTGTAGTATAATTGGGAATATTTTGAAGAGAAACAGAGTTTGCGAATCGAAAAATATTGATTTCAAGAATATAAAATACATGAAAAACTTTAAGTGCTTTGAGCGACCCCTACATATTTTTTATTTCGAAATAAAAAAATAACGGTATATTTTTTGGGTATAGAACAATCCTAGGGGGTGAGAGCATAAAAATTCCGACTTTCACATGCATTTTTGGACCCCCCTAATATGCATACAAATGGGCCCAAAATGGGCAATGGTCGCACTGAGCCAAAATCACAATGGTTTTGCAACCAAGTTATTGTTAGTTTTTTTTTCATGGTAAATAATTCGATTGTAAAAAATCTGATTCAAGTTGAACATTTGTATGACTGCCTGTAGCTAAACGCGCAGAGATGCTTGTTATTTCATAGCTTCCGGCAGGTTTCGGTTCGAATGCCGTCAGTAGCAACATATAACTTTTTTATTTTATTTATTTTTTGGGTTTTTTTAATTACAAAAAAACATCTGTAAAGTGAAAAACAAAATCAAACAACGAAAAAAATTTATTCAAGTTCAATATTAGAGAGAAAATTTAGAAAACGGCTGTAGCTGAGTGTGCAAGAGATCCTTGTTGTTATTTGCTAACTTTAAGAAGGTCAGGGTTCAAATTACGTCAGAGGCAACGTGTTAAAATTATAGTAAACATTTTTGTTTTGTTTCTTCGAATTATGAAAAAGCATCTGTGAAGAGCAGAACATAAACGTATTCAAATGAAAAAATCGGTAATCAAAAATGTTATTAATGTAAAAAAAATCATTGTTGAAAATATCAACCATGGCATGTTAAGTAATCTATATATTAATACGCTAACATAAATTTTGTCTCCGTTCGTTTGGCGATTCTACCGAACCGATTTCAAAACCAAGAACACCGTTGGAAAGGCATTTTTCCGTAGTTGAGCAGTTTATGGTTTCACAATTGGTTGAAAATTAAGGCCAAAACCGTCGTTTAAACATTTTCGAATTGTGTATACATGTTGCTGCAACATGTTCAATTTGACATGTTTCGCCTGTTGCTTCACTACACATTTGAAATTAAGCTTTGAAATAATGATAAATATGAAGATGAAGAAACAAGTGATAACGATGAAGTCAAAAAAAGGCAAAAGTGAAGATAAAGTCGAAAATTGAGATAAAGGCGAAAATGGAGACAATGAGAAATACATAAGAATTAGGTTAACAGAGCTGAAATTTTCCGATAGGAATCGAAATAAAATCAGCCATAAAGGTTACTGAAATTTATCGAATCATATCGCACCGTATCGAATTATTCAAACCGATCAATGTTTACTGAGTTGTCGAAATTTATAGACACAGAAACTAAGTTGTCCAAATTTAAGGATAGTTATCGAGCTATAAAAACATGTGGGATTAACGAAATTTGTCAAGTTAAAGAAATGTATCAAGTTATCGATATTTATTGTATGATCATTATTTATAGACTTAACGAAATATATCGAGGTGACGTAATGCATGGAGTTCTTTCAACTTACAGAGTTATCGATAATTATTGATCTACTGAAATTGGTTGGTTCAACGAAGCGAAGTTTATGGAATTTTCAATATATATCGATTTATCGAAATTTCGAGATTATAAAAGCTTATCGATTTATCACTGCTTATCGAATTTTATCGTGCTAACAGAGTGTAATGAGATATCAAAATTTTTCGATAGCTTTCGAAAAAATGTGGAGATGTCAAAAGTAAAAATTTATAAAGGTATCCAAAGTTTTTACATTTTTGAGTTATCGAAATTTATCGAGCCATCGAATTTCACATTTATCGAAATTGGTCGAGTTAACGAATTTTGTCGAGTTATCGAATTTTAGTGTTCTTGAAATTCATCGAACTATCGATATGTATCAAATCATTGAAATTTATCGATTGAATGTATCGGGCCAATTCCAAGTCCTGCCGAGGTCCTCCAAAGACCAACAGAAGATTTTCCAGTTAGTTAATTTGTACCGTATAAGTTTTGCTACGTGTTAATTTAGAAAACCTCTCCAAGGCTTCTAAAACTAGAAAAACTGTCGAATTTCGACAGTAACTGGCACTCTAGTATTAAATAAAAATCTTTTTGATTCCTTTTCAAATTTGAATTTGCTAATATCAACCAATTTTTGGTTGATTTTTTTTTTTCATTGCACCCCATTCACCTATGGAAGATATGCCTAAGTATTTAACAAAAAGCAATAAAATTGGAACACAATCCTTTGGACAGAAAAGCTGTGGAGTAAAACGCAACCCTGCAGATTTTCTAGATCCATGTGTTTAGCTTACGACATCAAGCCCACAAAGTTTGTTTTATCCACTAGTGGGGAAGATGCTAAGCTTCTGCAAAACAAACGAGCAAACTGTTTACCACATCCTCTGTGAATGTCCCCAGCCCTCTGTAGGCTGAGGTGGTATGTTTGCTACCGGTTCTAGAAGAAGCCGCAAAAAGAGGACATGTTCATGCTTTCGACTAAGTCTCTAGCATTCCTCACTTATCGCTTTTCTACAGAAATTTTGGATACATTTGGATCTTTTTAGCTTCTTATACTTTTTTATTGGTAAATATGAAATCCTTCTGTAGATTTAGCCAACTTCACCAACAAAAATTCCAATAAAGTATTCTCAACGTAAAGGAAGAAAAGCTAACAAATAACGCCAAATTACTCTCAAATAATTTTAAGTATCTTTTATTTCAGTTCCTAACCCGGATCAGTTCATCACAGTTTACAAAAATAGTTTCAATCACCACCAGCATACATATCTATTTACGGAACACAGAAAAAGCTGGTGCGGCAACGACTGGCGCGGCGGCATAAGCAGCTGGGAAAGCGGCCGAGTGCGCGATGGAGTGGGCGGAGTAACTGCTGGCATAGGGAGCAATGTAGGGCGCATAACCGGCGGTGTAGGCAGCGGCTACAGGAGCAGCTACTGGGGCGGTGTAGGCAAAAGCAGCTGGTGCAGCCAACAGGGC